CACCATATGCACATTGCCCCAGACTACCATTGAGCAAAATAAAGGATTATTATTGGTTGCTTATGTATCTCTCTGGATTTTTTTTATGCAAGCAAATATGAATATGGATTATTCTCCTCTTTTTACACAAAAAGTACACTATTTTGAACTTTTACTTAACATATATTATAGTTCTTTCCATACAGTATATAAAAAGCTGCATCTTTTTTGATATCTGCATTCTAATGGTTTACTGTATTTTACTTAGCCAGTCCCCTTTTGCTGGATACCCACCCTCCAATATTTTGCTGTTCTAAATAGCAAACTATGAATATGTGTCATGTCATGTATACGAGTTTATCTATAGAATAATTTCTTTCTAGAGGTGGAATTATTAGATTTTAATTTTCAAGATATTGCCAACTTACACTCCATGGGATTTTTACTTATATTTCTAACAGCAGCATACCAGAGTATCAGTCATTTTAATGTATATAAGCAAAGTGGAATATCTTTTTGCTTGAGCCATTTATATTTTCTTCTGTGTGTACTGCCTTTTCCTATCCCTTGCTCATTTTTTCTCTTTGTTAGTCTTTTTCTAGTCATTTTCTGGGAGAAATATATAAATATGTGTGTGTGTATGTGGGGGATATATATATATATGTGTGTGTAGGGATATGTGTGAATCTTCAGATATAATATTAATCTTTTGTGATATGAAATGAAAATCTTTTTCCCCCAGTTTATTTGCCTTTTGATTTTGCTCCTGACACTTATTTTCTAAGTGGACATTTTTTTTTTACTTCTTATATATAATCCATCAGTATAAATTTCAAGCAAACATACATCAAACAGTAGAATTAAGAAAAGAGCCATAACCAAGGAATTGCTGTACAGCAGTAGGTGAATAAAACCTTATGGCAGTTTCAGCAGCAATATTTACCTATTTGGTTAATATTTATTGAGTACTTAATTCATGTCAGGAATTACGTGCCCAGGAGTGGAAAGTTGTAGTGAGCAGAATCAGATATATGTCTTGCCCTTAGGTATTTTTAAGTTTACTGGGGTGACAAACATTATCAAATAATCAAAAATGTATTAAAAAAATTGAAGTTGGGTAAGGCCTGAAAACATTTCATGCTATGAGACGATGTAATAGAGGGATTTAATTTAGGGAAGTCAGTGGAAACTGAATTATGAAATATGTATAGGAATTCCTTGGCAAACAGGAGGGAGAAGAGTCATACAGGCTGAGGTAATAGCTTGTTGCTGGGGAGGAACTGAGTTTAAGGGACTGAAAGAAGGACAGTGTGATTGGAAAGGAGGGAAAGTAAGACAAAGCTAGAGAGGTAGTTGGGTGTCTGACCTTGCAGACTTTGTAGGTCATAATAGGGAATTTTAAGACCTCCAATGTTAAGAACAATGGGATGCCTTCAAAGAACAATGGGATGCCTTCAGAGGGTTTTAAATAGGGGAGTGACTTGATGGACAAGCTTAGTTTAGGTGTAGGGTGTGTGATGATTAGAATGACAGAGTAAAAGCAGATAGACTAGCTTGGAGACTATTGCAGTAATCCAGAAGGAGGAAATATGGTGGCTTCGCACTTGGTTGGGAGTGGAGAAGTATAAGCTTTTGAGGAATATTTAATGATTGACTTGACATGGGAAGTGAGAGAAAGGGAGATGTTAAGGGTGACTCTCCTAGGTTTCTGGTTTCTTTAATAGGGTAGAAAGTGATGTATACAGTGGGATATTGTACTTTGGAAGATAACTAGGTTTGATGAGATGATGATGTTTATTTTGGATATATAGAGTTTGAAGGGCCTTGAGACAGACAAAAGCAGTTAAATGTATTGGTCTGTAGCTTAGAGACTGGGTTTGGGATGCAAGTATGTAATTGGAAGACATCTGTGTATATACGTGGTAATTTAAATCATTGGGAGGGATGAGATAGCCTGGGTCAAATGGATAGTGTTCTTAGAACCGAGTCTTCATAAATTTGAGCGTTTAGGAGCAGGAACCAGCAAAAGACACAGAGAAGGAACAAGAGAAACTGAAGAAGAAAACTAGCAAAGTATGATGTCATGATAGAGGAATAGGAGGAGTGGCAACAGTATTGAATGTTGCTGACTTGTCAAGATAGGTAGTGAAAGCAGACAAATGTCCATTGGATTTGATGTTCTGGCGGCTGTCAGTGGCCTTAGAGTGATGGGAGTGAAAGGCAGATTGAGGGTGATTCAGGAACAAGTAGAATGAACAGTGGAAGCAGTTCATATAGATTTCTCTTTTAGAATGGAGGGAGAGAGGCAATAGGGCAGTTGCTAGAAGAGCATGAAAGGTGTTTTGTAAAATGAGAGTGAGTGAATATGTAAAAAGAAAAATGAGTCATTGGCAGTTTTAAGGTTATAAGAAGGTGGAAGGGAATGAGATCCAAAGCACAAATGGAAAGAGAGGGATAGATCCATTGTTGTTATAGGAGGAAAGATGGCTAGGATGGGATGCACAGTTGCTGTACATACTGGGAAGTGGGAAGAAGAGGGGTTTATGATGCTTTCCATTTTTTATGTACAACAAGAGGCATAATCACTTAGAGTTTCATGAGAGGATGGATGGTTAGGGTTTGAAGAGAAGAAAAATTTGAAAATAGACTGTGGGAATAAGTTGACCAAGGAAATATAGTTGGATTACTGGTACTGTTCTGGGCCATTCAATTATAGTGGAGTGTATCTGCTCAGCGTTTAACTTCAGCATCCTTTTCTGCAGGTATACAGAAAGTAGATTGTCAGATTCATCCAGAGTTCATTTGGCTAGATGTGTGCAAAGAGAAGAAAGAGCAGCAAGAGTGTAATCAGTGATAGATGGTGAGATATAATCCAGTCAGGAAGAAAGCTAAGAAAGGGCTGATGGATTGGTAGGAAGTGTCGTGGATTCAATTAGGAGAAGTTCCTAGGAAGTTGTGCAACTGTCATAGTGGAAGTCCTTGAACAAGCAAGTAGAAACAAGAGCAGGTACGGTCAGAGGGGGTGTTTGAAATGCTTATCTTGGAGGGGATGCAGTTAAATGTCAAAATCTTTAATTTAGGAAAAGCTGCCCTGCAGATGGTGAGGCTGGGCAGGGAGCTATCAAGCAACCCATCTTGGGAAGCAGAAAGAGCAGATGGGTTCCCATTGTCCCTAGTCCTTTCTGGTCCCACTCTTTAGATGGGCAGATGAAACAGGTACCAATTAAGAGTTTCTTGGAATCACTGCCATTCTCTTGAAAGCTCCCAGCCACAGTGATAGTGTGGTGCTGCAGGTTCCTTGAAGCTCCAGGCTGTCCCCATTCAGTCCATCATGGCTTTTATGGCTGATGTTTTTAAAGTTCATTTGTCATGAAATGGAGGGAATTTACTTTTCTATGGTTTACTCATTATCAGAAATTTTGTGCTCTGAGTTATTTTCAGGTAGTACTAATACATTTCTATTGATTCATTAATACTCTGTCTTAATCTTAACCGTTGTCATATATTTGTTAGAGTGTGGCTAGGGTCATAATGAGTGATTAGAACAGAGGGCACTGATTGATGTGGAATCAAGGCTAACTTCCTGACTTGGGTTAAACCCCATGTGTTCACCAATAGGGCTCCAAATAGTGATACAAAGGCAAATGCATGAATAAATCTATTAGGAGAACCACACAATTGCTCAGTGTCAGGATTTCAGTAATTCTTTATGTATGTACATACATGTACAAAGCCACCTCTTTCCAATTTACAGCGGGAATTGGTTGGAAGTTTTCCATAAGAAGTAAAAGTTGGGTAGGGTGAATGAGAACAATGGAAAAGGAGAGATGGATGATGGCGAACAGGGAGATTGCTGTAAAGGGGATTTTGCATAATGGAATCACTGGACTCGTTGCCCTGTAGAGAGCTGAGGGAAATGAGAACTTAGGAAAATGACTGATGAGTCCAGAAAAGGGAGAAAACATGGAGAGGGCCTAAAACTTTCAACAACACCCTAAATATTTAGGGTGATGGTCCAGTGTGCTCACTAGTTCTGGGTTGGGAATGGTTGGTTCAGATATTGATGCGGTTTGAAGAAGAGATAGATTCTCTTTTTTAAAAGGCAGGTATCTGGGCCGGCCCGGTGGCGCACTGGATAGTGCGCCGCTTGGGAAGCGCGGCGGCGCTCCCGTCCGAGGGTTCGGATCCCACATACAGACCGGCTCCCGCTCTATCTCTTCTTCAAACCGCATCAATATCTGAACCAACCATTCCCAACCCAGAGCTAGTGAGCACACTGGACCATCACCCTAAATATTTAGGGTGTTGTTGAAAGTTTTAGGCCCTCTCCATGTTTTCTCCACCCTAAATATTTAGGGTGTTGTTGAAAGTTTTAGGCCCTCTCCATGTTTTCTCCACCCTAAATATTTAGGGTGTTGTTGAAAGTTTTAGGCCCTCTCCATGTTTTCTCCATAAAAAAAAATAAAAGGCAGGTATCAAACTAGTGGACATGTAAAATCCAGATGTTTAGATAGTGTCTTATATATAAAACCCAGTGTTAAAATTAAACCTTTTCTTTGGATTTATGTACGTAATTTACAGAAAAAATTGGAATTCACATGAATTGCCTGTGGTTCCAAGCAAGCTTAATACTAATGACTGACAAAAGTGTAGTCAACTTGTGGTTCTACTTTGGATCTTTGAAACACCAAGAGCCGTCTTCTGTCGAGACATCTTCGTTTGCCTTTCAGTTATCATCTGGAGCATGTTGTTTCTTTCCATTAGCCAAAGGCAAATGAAATTAGGGCGTCGTTTTGTAATATGTTGGCAGAGAGATTCAGAGTGGCCTTCCTTTCTTTCTGCATAAACGTTTTGAGATTTCTAAGGCAAAACTTGACTGTGTTTGACAAGCTGCTGCAAATCTAAATATCAGCATGATTGGGACTGTGCCCTCTGGAAACACTTGCCTTGGCAACATTTTCAGACAGAAGCTATCAACTGTTTTATCATGAGAGGTAATCTTTGCACTCTTCTGTATGTAGACTGGTGATGTACATCGAGAGAGATAGCAGAAAGGCCTCTCCAGGCAAGGAGCAGCAAAGTGGCAATGAATACCTGTCCACATGCCTGGATCTTCTCATCCGTCACATTTTGCAGGAACTGCCACGCATTTTAGGTAAATTGGAGTCTTGTCCTCAGGCCTCGTTGCTGCTTACCTTTCTGCTACTTGATTTTCAGGCATCACCTCTTTTTTATTCTTAACTTGTCTTTTCTTGCAGGCAAATGCAATGACACTTTTTCTTGAATGTGTAGTTTCAAGATTTAAATTTGCCTTATCTGCTTTTATAATTATTTTGCGTCAGTGACATGATAGAGACAACAAGCAGGATAAAGGTTACACTGAGGGGTTATCTGAGGCAAACTGGCAGTTTTAGAAAATAAACAAAAGGAAAGCATTTTAATTGCTTAAAATTGGACTTACGCTGTTACTTTTGATCATTTTTCTTAAGATTTGTCTCTGTCTAAATCTGAAGAAATAAATCTTCCCTTGAAATTAGAACCACAGATTTCGTTATTGTTAAAAGAACTTTAAAATGCATAGATTTTAATTTGAGAAATTAAAATTTAAAAATTTAATATTAAAGCAAAGAATTTTGATATTGGTGTAAAGTCCAAAGTTTGAAAGGTTCTTTGGTTTGAAAAATTATCTTTAAGATAAAAGTATCTAATAATGATTTGAAAAAATATTTATTATAGCTAAAGAAATCTCTCATTCCCTTGTTATTTATAGAAATTAAAATCTAAGGAATGCATACAGGTAGCTTAAATTCGATTCTGTAATTTTCCAGCAGATATAGCTATAAACCAGAAATGTTTAAAATGTTGAATTTCATCCAAGCCATTACAGTAAAGTATACTTAGACTCAGAAATTCAGAATATTAAATCAAAGTAATGAAAATATCTTCACGGCCAACTGACAGTAACTTTTTGCTTCTTATGAATACTTTAGGGTTTTTTTTTGTTTTTGCCTTTTAATGATTGAAAATAGAGCAGCTCAAAATTTCTTTTGGATTGTAACCTTTTTTGAATCTCCAACCTAAAGGCTATAATCTGCTTACTTGGTAGCTGAGTTCCTTGTAGCTGAGTTCCTTATTACCAGACTCATCCTGTTTTAGGATATGATGATAAGATTTTGATGTCCACAAAGCAAGTTTTATGTATTATTGGATTTATCATCAAATGAGTAGTTTTGGCAATTTATCTATTTTTATTTCCATCCTGTTCTCTTTTTTAAAAGTTGTGGTCTATAATCTGTTCACTTATAATTTGAAAATAATTTTTCCTGTTTGCAAAAGTAAGGTGTTCATTGTTGAAACTTAGAAAATTTGAGAAAAAAAAAATCTCTAAATCCACCACTCTACCATTGTCATTTATGAATTCTATTTTAAATTTCTAGATGAGAGGTTAATTGATGATGTTTATGCAGAATATGACATTCTGTCCCCAGAGGCCACAAGTGTCTGTTATAATTTCAGTATTTGTGAATAAAATGACACAGCTTCTACCCACTTATTTTACTTGGAGGTTAATTACCTTAGAGGCCCCATTAGTATTCATGCAATGACCAATGGAACCTAGTTTTTGTGGTCTTTAACTTCCATGCGTGCTGTGGCGTGTCCTTCACAGGTGACATTCTTAACGCCTTGGCTAATGTTTCTGGTCGTAAACACCCATCAACAGTTCAAGTGAAACAGCTGAAGATGTGTCTCCCCCTGATGCCCATCGTGCTTCACCTAGTGACTTCACAGGTACTATTGTATTAGGGGAGGAAAATATAAATGTAGCTCCTGTCTTTGTAAAGTGGAGCTGAGAAATGTCAGCCTAGACAAAACATTTTCATTTTTTTTTCTTTTTGTCGAGCTAAAATTGTACATGACTTTCAGGATTTAATCTATGGAAACTCTCATCACACAGGTATTTCGACCTCAAGTTGTAACAGAAGAGTTCCTTTTCAGTTATGGAACTATTCTTGTGAGTAATACTAAATTTTTCAAGTTCCTAATAAAAATGTGCCTGTCTCTACTGTTTGTGGAATCTGGTGTCAGAATGAGGTAATTTAAAAATCCTAGTGGTATTTATTTGTTTCTAGGGAAGTGACCTTTATCTGTTGACTGTAATAAAATTTGACATTTGGAGAAAAATACATTCTCCTCTGATAATGCATTTTGTTCAGAGATAGCCCCAAATAGGATAAGTAAGTCCATAGAAACACTTTCATAGATTTTGGTATTAAATGTCATGAAAAAATATAAAGTAATAAAACTAGTGAAAATGGAATGGTAAGAATATATTATCATTATTATTTACTTTGTCTTATATTGTCCAGTCATGTGCAGTTTCTTTTTCTGTGATGGCATTTGTCTAAGTTAAGCTCAGTTTAGCCTTTTCTTTAATTTTGATGATACAGGTAGAAATGAAAAACAAGTCATTGTACTGTCTTTCACTTCAGTTTTTGCTCATAAAAAATCATCTTTTTGTTTTGGTTGTGGCTCATGAATTAGTGAGCTTTTTCTCTTGCCTGTAGTGCTGTATATATTGTTGATAAAATGAGGAGCTATCCAAAAAAAAGCTCAGACCTCTGTCACTCAGCATCTCCAGTCTTACTTTGGTGCTACTAATAAAGTGAACTGAGATTTTCAAAATGCCATAGAGGTATTTAGTTAAAATGAAGTAGATATTTCAATGTTATTGTTACTTTGAAATGAAAAGAAACAAAAAACAATTATTACCACCCACAAGTGAGAATATGGTTTTCTAGAAGGCTCATCATTGAGTGCAGTATGATATTTTTAAGTGCAAATGTTGAGTGGAGGTTCCTGACTTCAAGGAAGCAATGTGTTCAGGCAATGCGGTGGGGGTCCTTTTGTGCTCAGTTTCAAATCTTTATCAATCTAGTGCCTTGAATCATGAATACCAGAAAGTACATGATTTTGATAGTACATTTATGAGTTTGCAAATTACTGTTTTTCATCTACCAAATTACTAAGTTTTTCTCAAGTAAATTAAAGTAAGTCTTTAACTTCTTTATCTTTTTTTAAGTACAATATATGCATCGTTTTAGCATGGCTATACTTCTATATCTATAATTCCATTGCACTGACATATAAATAGTAATTTTGCTCTTATAATCCATTTTGGATTATTTTGGCACAGTATGTGTTTGGGATAGGTATAGTCGTCCTCGGTTTGTTCTTTTTTCTTTTTTCATGTGTAGTACTTTTCTCTGCCTACATTAACTGAGTACACTTTAGGTTTTCAAGGACCTGTCAAGTGTTTCCAACTTAAAGTTTTTATGGACTTCCAGGAATTATATATGTATGTATTTTAGGCACAACTCATCTGCTCCTTGCAATACTGTGTTCAGAGATAAGGGAGGAGGCCACACTAAGGAAAGGTCACTTTCTCCAAGGAGTGAGAGTGTTTTTTGTGGGTTGTGGGTGTTCCATAGGGTCTTCTCAGTATAGGCACTTTTGGGAAATAGAAAACAGCTTGCCTGATTATTTTAGGAATTTCACTTCCTGTTGGCTTCATTTTTCATGATGGTACCAGTGCATGGCTTGCCTGGTAGAAAAATTCAGTATACTTATGTATGGAGGCATGAGTGTAGGAATTAACTTTTTATGTGTGTGTGGACTAGGAAGTCAGCTTTTATTCAGGAATATTGGAGATGACCTGAGGAGAGATGTTAGGCTAACTCATCTCTCTGGTAAACCTGGAGAATGGCCAGGCTAAAACCATCTCACAGACCCAGATTTACTCTGGGGTTTTTAAAGAGGGGATTGAGGGAATGGAATGTGGGAAGTGAAAAGCAGGAGGGAGGGGGACGTGGGCTGTGGGAGCTCCATGCAAGGAGCCAGATACAAGGTCTTGCCAAGGCTCCGTCTGGATTCTGTTCCCATCCTTGATGTTATCTTAGGGTCCTGCTGGATTTTGATGTGCTTCAGGGTAGAATCAGCATAGCTTTATTGATGTCTTCTTTGGTTTCTTGGGGTCCGGATAGTATGTGTCTCATGGCAAGTTTGGAACTCCAGGCAAACTGAAAAACAGCATTAATTCTTTCATACAATTGTCTCCCTATTCTTGAGTTAGTTCAGTTCATGTTCTCTGTTTGCTGTAATAAATCATTCAGTAAATTTTTCAGGATAGGTTCTTGGTTGACATACTTTCTTAACCTCTGCATATTTGAGATTGTCTTCTAGTTGTCTTTGTACAGAAATGATAACTTGGCAGAGTATAAAATTCTTGGTCCAGAATTATTTTCCCTTAAAACTCTGTAGATATTATTCCATTGTCTTCTGGTATTTAGAGGTGCAAGAGAAAAATCTAAGGTCAGCCTGATTTTTGCCCCTTTATAGGTTACTTACTTTCTTTGTCTGGATACTTGTAGAATTTTTTCTTTATCCTTGAAATTTAAAAGTATCATTGGAATATGTCTAGGTGTTGCTTTTATTTTGTCAAATTTTAAAGGTATCCTGTTTGCTTTTTCCATTTGTAGTCCTAGTTTGCTCTTCAGCTCTGAGAATTTTCTTCAATTAATCCTTAATTACTGTTTCAGCTCCGTCGCTTTGTCCTCTATTTAAGATATTCATACAGTGCATGGACTATATCTCCTGGACTGACCTTCTAGGTCATTCCTTTTCTCTTTTTCTTATTTTGATTTCTTTCCCCTTTTTCTCCACATTCCATGAGACTCTCTTTTTTTGGATTTATTTCAGTAGTTTGGTTTTGTGGACAATCTGGCTTGTACCTTCTTTCTGTTAACTCTCTCAACTCCCTGATACTTTTTGAGCTCTCTGCCCATCCCTTCTCTGTCACTGTGGATAAGTTGTTAAGCCCTCTGTTATACAATTCTTAAACCTTCCCTAAGCTTCTGTTTCCAGCTCTATATCCATTTCAAGAGGAGGCATTTTCTAAATTACTTAGCTCTGTTCCTTTCTTCTGAACTGCAGTATTATGACCTTTTCCATTGCTCTTCTTAGCACTGAGGACAAAAAACGAAGATTAAGGAGGAATTTACTTTAAGTAAACATTTTTTTTTTCACAAGTAAAATGAAGTTTTGGTCTTCTTATATTTCAAAGAGATTAGTGTTTGGAAACAATTTTGCAGGGTACTTTTGGACCATTTTCAAACTTTCAGAGGCTCCAGGAAAAAGAAGAATACCCAGCTGATAATTGCTGTTTTCACTTCTTATTGGCAGAAGCAGTCTGTCATCACACTGGGTGCCCTCTACACGTTTTAGCAGTCAAGTCTCTGGGGAAGTGCTACTAGGAAATTCTGTGGTGAATACCATACTTATTTGGGCCTCCATTGAATTGGGCTGGGAAACAGGAAGTAATGACATTATGGAAATATGTTAAGGAACTCATGATGTGTATTAACCTAATGTTCATTGTACTGTGTCCTTTTGAAAATGCTTTTGATTAATGAGCTGAGGAAGAGGACTTTGTTGTGTTTGCTTTTAAGTTTTGTCCTTATTAGTTTATGAAAGTACAGTGGTTGTGTGGTGATTATAGTTATCTTCAAAAAATAACTAAGAAAGAATAGGGCCGGCCCGTGGCTCACTTGAGAGAGTGTGCTGCTGGATAACACCAAGGCCACGGGTTCGGATCCCTATATAGAATGGCCAGTTGGCTCACTTGGTGGGTGCTGACAACACCAAGTCAAGGGTTAAGATCCCCTTACTGGTCATCTTTTAAAAAACAAAAAAACTAAGAAAGGACATACTTAATGCCCTCTGCAGATTTTTATTGTAAGTGAGTGGTGGTTTGTTGGTAGATTTTGGTTTTAGTTGTGGATAAAGGAGAGATAGAGTACTGTTACATTTTTAAAAACATGATACTCTACACTTATTTGTTGCCACATAAGTGTTCTTGTTATGAGTTTTTTTTCCTTTAACAGACCATGAATTCATATTCCCAGTTTGCTACAGGAGCTTATTTTCAGCTTCTTTAAAGGGGTACTGATTAATACTGAAGAGCGGTGGCCCTTGAGATGCAGCTGTCCCTCCTGCCCTTTAGATGGGGCTGTTTTTTGCTAACCCCCTTCCCTCACCATCCTCCAGCCAGTGAGCCAAACTGTGGGTAGGTGTCCATCCTTTTTCCCTCACCTGCTAAAACTCCCAGTTTTGAAGCTCATGCCATCCAAAGATATCCTGTGTTACCCCCTGCATAGTGGTCATATGTAATTTGTGAGTCATTGGCCCTTATTCCTCAAATTTATTTTTAGCTTTGGGCTCACTGGCAGTCTCTCTGTGCTGCTCCTGGCAGCATTTGTGGAGAATTTGATGACCCTCTGGAGGATCCTTCCAACACCTCAGCCTCTTTGCCTGTGAGCTTGTCTTTCTTTCCCTCATTTGCCTATCCCCATGGTCAAACTCTTGACTTTATCCTTAGCATCCCCTTGTCTGGCCACCACCAGTAATTTTCAACTCACTTTCTCTATTCCCCAACTCCAACAACCCTTCAACTCTTCTGAGACTTAAATTGTTCCCACCAGCTTTTTGCATACCATCTGGCCCTCCCCTGGCTCTGCTTCTAACCTTTTCTCTTTACTCAGCATAGTGTTCCTGGTCCAGCATCAATGCTGCCTTGAGTATACCCATAAGTCTCTTTCCTCTCCTTCACTGCCCTCCTCTGGCAAATCCTAGTGTTTGCTAAATTTAATTCTCCACTTACACTAGCCCTACTTTGAGAGAACAAATATGGCTAGGGAAAAACACAGTGAAAATAACCGGTCTCACTTGAAATTCATGACTGCTCATCTCAAGTGAGCCCTCTCTGCAGACTGGTACATCTAGTTTATTTTCCTAATTTATATACCTTCATGCTCATGTAGACGATTATTTATGTGTCCCCTTCTCTCCTGGAAGGTTCAATGCCTCCTACTCTGTCCTCACTCTCACCTCATTTCTTCCTATGAGGAAGAAGAAATCTATCAATAGACATTAAATTGGTAAATCAACAAAATTTTC